TCCCTATGTATACAGGGTAGATAGGGACGGGCAACTTAGACATTGGCTACCTAAAATGAGGAGAAGATAAAGGCACAAAGTGATTGGCTACAAGTTTTCAAGAGGGTCTTTAGTTTAAGAGTATGTGGGGGAAGATAGAGTCTCCACAGAATAGTTTTCATCTTGTCTGGAAGGGTCTGGTAAATAGAGATGGGTATAAGATACTTAAGATTTAATAGTGAGTAATTGTTATCATGACTAATTGTGACCATCACAGTTGTAAAGGTAGAAGTTTTGTAACAAAAGCAGAGTAGTTAATCTTACAGTCCTGAAACAGAGGACCCTAGGATCATCAAGTGAGAAGAGCACAAGCAGAATGTGGGACCTTATCCAGAGAAGCAGCGACACCAGAGATGGAGGCAGAGACAGGAGCAGCTGAGGACCCTAGATTCATGGAAAGAGAGACTGAGAGCTGGTGGCCAGGAGGGAGACTTGCAGAATGTGCTTTTTGGTGATTTAAATTATTGTATATTCCTGAGTATTTTGTGTGTGTGTGTGTTTTTTTTTTTAAAGAGCTAAAATGAATAGAGAGAAATACTGTTAACTGATGGTATATAAAAGGGATTAAAATCATTGTAATGAAACAAACTATATGATTTGTTGAATGTAAAACTGATGATCACTCAATTCACAAAAAAAAAAAAAAAAAAAAAAAAAATCAGTGGTAATGACGGAAGACAACCAAACTGCACTGAAGACGTTATCGAAAAATAAGACTGTGAATTGAATACCACTTGAAATGTTTCAGCAAAGTGATGCAGCAATTGAAGCATACTCACTAGTCTATACCAAGAAATTTGGAGGAGAGCTATGTGGCCACTGACTAGAAGAGATCCGTATCTGTGCCCATTTCAAAGAAAAGTGACCTAACAAAATGTGGTAATTATCAAACAGCATCATTAATATCATCTGCAAGTAAGATTTTGCTGAAGATAATAATTTTTAAAAATGGTTGCAGCAGTACTTCAACAGGGAGCTGCTAGAAATTAAAGCTGGATTCAGATGAGAATGTGGAAAGAGGGATATCATTACTGAAGTCAGATGGATCTTGGCTGAAAATAGGTTGTACAGGAAGTTCACTTGTGTCTTATTGACTCTGTAAAGGCATTCAACTGTGTGTATCGTAATAATCTATGAATAACAATATGAAGGATGGGAATTCCAGAACACTTAATTGTACACAAAACAAGAGGCAGTTATTCAGACAAAACAAGGGGATACTGCCTGATTTAAACAAACTGCATGCCAGTGTTGCATATTTTCCCATATTTAATCTGTATGCCGAGCAAACAATATGAGAAGCTAGTTTACATGAAGAAGAACATGACATCAGGATTGGAGGAAAACGCAACAACCTGCAGTATGCAGATTATGCACAATCTTGCTGTTAGAGGGCTGAACACACACTCTGCTGATCAAAGAATACAGCACATATCAAAATAAAACAAAAATCCTCATAACTGGAACAGTAAGCCTCATGATAAACAGAGAAAAGATTGAAATTGTCAAGGGTTTCAATTTACTTGGATCCAAAATCAATGCTATGGGAACAGTGGTCAAGAAATCAAAGACATCTTGCAGTGGGAAAGTCTGAGAAAACCACTTTACCTAAAGTTTTAAAGAGCAAATATGTCATTTTGAGAAATAGGTGTGCCTGACTCAAACCTTGGTACTTTTAGTCACTTCATGTAAGTGAAAGCTGTTCAATAAATATGAAAGACTGGAGAAGTTTATGCATTTGAATTGCGATGTCAGTGAAAAGTATTAATACAAGAAGAATCAACAAATCTGTCTTGGAAGAAGTATAGCTAGAATGCTTTTAGAAGTGAGGCTAATGAGACTTTGTCTCATGCACTTTGGACATGTTGTCAGGAAGGACAAGTCCCTGGAGAGCACATCATCCTTGGTAAAGTAGAGGGTCAGTGAAAAATAGACCCCCCCCCCATGAGATGGATTGACACACTGCCTGCAACAGTGGGCTCAAGTATAACAATTGTGAGGATGGCACAGGATTAGGCAGTATTTGGTTCTAGTGTGCATAGGGTTGCTGTGTGTCAGAACTGACTTTAGGGCATCTAACCATAAGCAAAGGAAAGGAGTAAGATATGCACAGTAGCTTTTGAGGATAGGGTGATTGAAGATGGATGCTTTTATTGATGGGTTAATTCATGAGTTTGTGGGACCTTTATTCCTAACTTTTGGCAGAAAGTTTGGAAGTCCATGATGGGAATTACCTCTAGTCTCTTGTCAAGCAGACAAGGAATTCTAGAGTTATTCTATTAACAAAGTGCATGATCATATATCTGTATAATGCTTCATATTTCTTGAATAGTAAAATTTTATTAAATATTTAAAAACTACAGCTTCAGCTGTAGTTTCGTGCCATCAAGTCAGTTCCGACTATTTGTGGAAGCAGAAAGCTCATCTTTCTCCCTCAGAGTGGTTATTAGGCTTGAACTGCCAACCTGATGATTCACAATCCAGTGCTCATCCTTTTATGATAAAATTTGTGTTTCAGGGCAGGTACAGATTCTTTGGAGTTTACTTTTTGAAACACTGCTGGGAAGCTTTTTCATTGCACTTAAGCTTTATTCTGCATACTTTGAAGCTGGTCTTTGTTTTTATATATTTGCCCTTGGGGGGGGCAGTTTAAATGTATGGTTATAAATAATTCTTTTATTGCAAGTTTTAAGAAAGGTTAAATAATTCTAATAGTATCAATAAATTTGAATAAAAAACAGATCTATTTTAGCATAGTGGTTACGAGTTGGGCTGCCAACCTCAGGGTCAGCAGTTTGAAACTACCAGTGGTTCTGCGAGAGAAAGATGAGGCATTCTGCCCCCATAAAGATTTACAGCCTTGGAAACCCTGTGCAGGGTCACTGTGAGTTGGAACCAACTCCACGGTACTTACCAACAGCTACTTAATGGTTTCCTTCAATATTATATGAACATTTATTAAAGCCTCTTGAGCTTCTTTTCAGTTCTGAATTGTTCTTGGAAACTTAACTTTTTCTAAGCTAAAGGAAATCATTCAACATGTTGCTAAGAGCATCTATGTGCTAGACATTTTGAAACAAAGATTGTTTGTGTTTGTCAAGTGGGAGACCCAGTGGTGGTGAACAATACCAACAGAAATCTTTCTGGATTCTGATAATGACAATATACATAATATATGCATACATACAGTTATTGTTTGTTGTTCCAACTCCTAGTAACCCTGTATAGGGTTCCCGGGGAGCAGGTAGTGAGTTTGAATTGCCAACTTTGTGGTTCAAACTGAACTTGTGGTTGAGTGTTTATCCACACTAAGTCCCCATACATACAGTTGTTGTTGTTGCTAAGTATCATCGAGTCAGTTCCAACTCATGTGTAGGGTTTCCGAGGAGTGGCTGGTGAGCTTGAACCACTGACTTTGAGGTTCAAACCACTTTGCAGTCTAGTGCATTAATCTGCAGTGCCACACCAGGACTCCATATACATGCACAGTGTTGTTGTTGTGTGCCTTCTAATCAGTTCCAACTCATAGCAACCCTGTATAGGGGTTCCAAGGAGCAACTGTGAAACCCTATACATGGTTGCTATGAGTTGGAATCAACTCGATGACATTTCACAACACAAACAACCATTTTTTTAGGACCAACTCAATGGCACTTCACAACAACAAAACAACTAACTATCTATTTAAGCGATGGTGTCAATTTGCATTGCCAGTCGTGTGAGAGTTTGTGAATTTCACTTTTGACATTCTCTTTTGCAGTGAGGAGGCATAAAGTGATTTTAGGTTTATTTTCCATGGAAAGGAATGATCATACATAGCTCCTTGCTGATGCTTTGAAAGCTCAGTTAAATATGTGTCCCTGGGATGCATGTACATGTTCTTTCCCTCTCTTTGCTGTGCCTGTGTACATATGCATGTACATGTGTTCACAAATGTGCATAATGCATGTGCCCATTCTACATAAACATACATGCATGTGCACCTTATTTTACCAACTTGATCTAATCTACAATAAATTTAAACTTGAGACTGAGGAGCCACCTAAGGGTCTGTCTTGTTTAGGCTGCTTCAGCCTCTGAAGTTGCCCTGATGTGGCTTGAGTGTCCCTAAAGACAGGAAGCACATTAGTCTTAAGGTGACCCATCCTTCTTGAATAATCACTGATCAGTTTGAACCCACCAACTGGCTCTGCTGGAAAGAGATGTGGCAGTTTGTTTCCATAGAGATTTACAGCCATGGAAACCCTATGGGGCAGTTCTAGTCTATCCTGTAGGTTCACTATGGGTTGGAATTGCTTCAATGACTGGTTTTTCATCCTAGTTTAAGTATCTTATGCTGTGCTTTTTCAACATTAAGATGACATGCATTTCCTTTTAACTGGTTCTGTATCTATTGTGTCCTTTTACAAATGAGTAAAAAGCTGTGATTTTTTTAATAGAGTGAAATCTCTTCAGACAGAGATTCATGTCTATTTTTAAAATTGTGCTTTTCAACATCTGCATACTTGTGGTCCTCTGAGTAGTTTGAACTGTGTGCTTGGGTAATGGCAAGGAAAACAGTGAAAAATTATCCTCCCCCGCCTTGCTGTCTAAATTTTCTGCAAACATTTTTTTCGTATTTAGTTTTAAATATTTTTAAGCTGCCTCCATCTCTCCCAAACCTCAAATATTATATATTTTAATCATACTATAATGAATTAAGAAAATAAGAAAAAGGCATACTTGCTCTTTACAGAAAAAAATTATATCTCATGTAATACATCAATATTGAAAATTTCTTCTTATGGATAATATCCAATCGAAGGCTTTTGAACTTCCAGGTGATATTAATAGTCATAGAGCCTTAGAATAAAAATGAGTGTTTTAAGTTAATAATTTAAAGTTAATAGATGTTAGTCAATAATTTAAAGTTAATAGATGTTAGTTAACAGGTATTTAGTTTGTTTTGTTTTCCTCTACAGGCAAGAAGAGACTGATAGAAGAGTGAAAAATGTAAGATATACTTTCTGTAATGGAATATTATTAACAGAATGAATTTTACTTACATACAAGAGGTCTTCAAAAGTTCATGGAAAAATGGAATGAAAAGATAATTGGAATTTTTCCATGAATATTTGAGGCCCCCTTATATTCTGTGGTAAGGTGATGGTTTTAAAGATATCTGATATATTCTACATCCTTTCTGTAATTAAATGTTTGCTAAAAACCAACCAGTAACAAACACCATTGTTGTCAGGTATCATTGAGTTGCTTCTGACTTCTAGTGACCCCATGAACAGCAGCTTGAAACCCTGCCTAGTCCTGCCCCATCCGTGTTAGCCCATCTCTTTTGTTCACTGACCCTCTACTTTACCAATGTCCTTCTTCAGGGGCTGGCCCCTCTAAATTACATGTCCAAATTTTGTGAGATGTAGCCTTTGCTACTCTCATTTCTAAGAAGCATTCTGGCTGTATTTCTTGTAGGACAAGCATTAAATATATTTACATATGATTAAATCTATTGGCATATGAGTAAGATAGGTAAAATATATACAGTAAGTTCATGGACAAATTCTATTATCCTTTAATTTCGTTTTTTTCATGAACCTTTGAAGCCCTCTTATACACACTTATATAGACGCTGTGGGTTAATGAACTGGATTGCAAGGACGGAAGTTCAAGCTCACCAGCTGCTCCTTGGAAACCCTATACAGGGTTACTATAAGTCGGAACTGATTTGGTGGCACTTCACAACAACATACATGTATATATGTACTTTTTAGGTGGTGGTGGTGGTTATGTGCCGTGGAATCAGTTCTGACTCATAGAGACCTTCTGAGGCTGTGACTCTTTACAGGAGCAAGGCTCATCTTTCTCCAATGGAACAGCTGGTAGTTTCAAACTGCTGACCTTGAGGTTAATAGCCCGACTCATAACCACTATCTTACTAGAGCACCTTATATACTTTATATGTATATCGTATATATATCTGGTAGCCTAATGAATTATGAGCTGAACTTATAACCGCAAGGTCAGCAGTCCAAATCTATCAGCTGCTCTCCATGGGAGAAAGATGAGGCCTTCTGCTCCTGTAAAGATTTATAGCCTGGAAACCCTATTCAGGGTCGCTATTACTCGGAACCAACTCCACAGCACATAACAACCAATTTATGTACATATACTACAGCCTGGAAACCCAGCATATATACATGTACACACATGTATATAAACATACACATATATACAGATACATATGTACATGTATGTATATGTACTACCAGTGGTTTCATGAGAGAAAGATGCGACTTTCTGCTCATGTAAAGATTTACAGCCTCAGAAACCCTATTCAACTCCATGGCATATAACCAACCATCTATATATATGTGTGTGTGTGTTCTGATTTGTTATAAGAAGTTAGATTTAGGAAGTGTTTATAAAGAAAGAAACACATGAACACGTTTTGTGTTTTGTTGTTGTTGTTAGTGAAATAGACAGGAAACCATCACCAAATCAAAAAAATACCAAAATTTTAAGGATTCTAGGTAATTTCTTAATTACAGACTTATTTATATAGTTGTAGGATTTCTAAAAAATATGACAAAGCTCAATATCCTTATCAAAAAGCTAAGAATAACTGACTTAAGTATTCATTTTATAAGTTTGTTGTTGGAAAATGTACTGATTGTTTTAAAAGTTTAATTTTTGTTTTCCTTTCACAGTTTTTCCCTTTCTTGTATATATTGTTGGTTAGTGGACTTGAACCATTGACCTTGTGGTTCGCAGTGCCGTGTTTATCGTACAGAGACACCGCACTCCCCCATAAGTACTGAAAAATTATATTAATACCTTTTGGGATCTGGGCTTTGGGTCTGAGAACTTGTTTAGTCAGGAAATTCTGGGCAGAATCATTTGATTTTAGTGACCCTTCTCTTTTCCATAAATTAAAAATAAATGTTTTGCTTTTCAACATTAGAATAATGAGGGATATAGTTTAGCAGTACTTCTCATCTGCTTTAGAGTTTGCAGTGATTCGACTGACCTTTTTATTTCATGGATTTTCTTTTGTTGAAAGGTTTTGATAACATTGTACTGGCTGGGAAGAAAAGCGCAAAGTAACCCCTACTATAGTGGTCCCTATCTTAATTTGAAAGCATTTGAGAATTTTTTAGGACAAGCTCTGACTAAGGTAAGGCAACAATATCTTTATGACTCCTTCTACTTTCACCCTTTCCCATCCTTCTTTCCTCTTCTGCCTTTATCCTCTTCTCCCTTTGCCTTATCCTCCTCTTCTGCCTTATCCTCTTCTCCTTTACAAAGAAATACAATTGACACCTCGACTTTGCGTGTGTGTTCCACTCTTGATTGGGTTGGGTAGAGAGGGTTGTTACTTACTTATTATTGTGTATATCCCCACCCAGGAGTGTGGGTGAGTCTATTTCAGAGCTGTCTCTACAGTATAGAAATATGTCTCTTAATTTTATGTAGCTTGATGACATACTCATTTGTTTCATCTCTTGGACACTTTATAAAATATATACTGTAGCTATTTCTGTACTCGTTCTGGAAGTAGCCTGGAGTAGGAAGGTGCTTCTAAGGCTATTAAAATGTGTGACCGTGACTCTGTTCTCCATCATAATGTATTCTCGACATGAATGATTTAATATTTCTGACACTCATACTGCAGTAACCCCATAATTGTACCATACAGTGTCTGTTTTCTAAAAAGTAGTGAATGCTGTTAGTTTTAAAGTTAAAATTATTTGTTCTAGAGACTGCATATTCTAGAATCAGTGTCTCATCCTTTATGAGAATTGTGTGCTAGAATGAATAGTGATGATACCAGAAGTTCATTTGTATGTGGTTCAAATGAGAAAGCCCAGTGCCCCGGGGCATTTGTCATGGCATTGACAGGACTCAGAAGAAAACAGTGGTCAAAAAATTTGTCACCACCAAATTAATCACACTTTCTTTTGAGTATTTTTGTGACCACTGTGATGTAGTACCAATAAGATTCTTAGCTAGTCCTTGGACCAATAAAGGCTAGTTGCCATGATGTTGTTGTTGTTAAGTTCCAACCCATAGTGACCCTGTATAGAGTTTCTGAGGACGACTGGTGAGCTTGAACCACCAACCTTATGGTTCAAACTGACTCTGCTGTCCAGTGCATTAATCTACAGTGCCACAACAGGCTGTGATAGAAAGATAGAAATTTTAGACCAGAAAGAATATGATCACCTTGCTGTAAATCTGCCCCCATCTTTAATGGTTTCACTTGAATCCAGTCACATAAATTATGCATTGTACAGAGTATACAGAGTAGGGATTATAGAGCCTCGCATGTTTTCCATTGGTTTGTTTTATTGTAATAAGTTGCTAGCAGTTTATTCAAGTTTGTTGAGTCTATTAATTAAGGTAATAGTGAAGATATTAACAGGCCACAGCATTGCCCTAGGTGCTGGGACAGCCCACCTGTTAAGACAAGGACCCATCCTCAAAGAGCAGTTTTCTGATAGTGACTGGTAAGGGATGGTTCCCTGAGGTACAGCAGGGGTGGGCTCTGGTAGAGGGTAGGGCTGAGAGCCTGGCTTTCCAGTGGTTTTAACTAAGAACACATTCAGTTGCAAACATAGTGGAACTTTAGCTCCCTTTGTAGTTGTTGCTCCTTTTACTGACACAGTCTGTCTCAGGCTGAAAACCCTAGTAAACTGTTAAGGGCAGGAATATTTCATTAAAGGCTATATCCTTGCATTAGTGGCAAAATTAGAAAGGGTAAAATTACTTTTTGATAAACCATGACTTGATGTTAAGTGCCATAGAGTTGGTTCCAACTCACAGAGGCCCTGTATAGGGTTTCCAAGAAGTGGCTGGTGGGTTAGAATCATGGACCATTTGGTTAGTAGTCCAGTGCTTAATTTACAGCACCACAGTGGGAGTGGCCTTAAGAGGCAAGTGAACACATTAGCTCTTACTGGAAGCATTTTCCATCAGTATTATTAAAATCAAAACTAATGTGCTCATGAAACACGTCCCACTTAAATAGATGATGCTTAATGGCCAACTCAGATGATCAATTTCTAAAAAACAGTTGATGCCATCTGTTGTCCATCACTTATCTTCTAAGTTGGGAGTGACTCTAGGTGACTCTTGAAGATGAAGTCTTCTTTGAACATTGAACACCAGGTTCTTTTCTAATTGAGGTGTCCCGTCATCAGTGTTTTTAACGTTTATTCACACCAAAACTCATCTCGCTGTATGTTGAGGATTCTTAGGCTTCAAGAGGATATGAGTCTATGTGGATGGATCTAAAATTTTACTTAAAAAATTTGTTTTTCTTACCTTTTTATATTTGAGGAGAAGTTTCATGGTACCAGCATTAGACCCAGCCTTCCCATCTGTTTAGAAATAGCAGGGTGCAAAGTAGGCGCCTGCAGTTTCATGACAGAATGTCAGTTCTGACGCTGGAGTGTCTGGCATCTAGAGCAGATGAAATCTCACTTAAATCTCCTTCGCTTTATTGGAGCTTCTAACACTTGTCAAATAATTCACCCATGAATTGACGGATCCAGTGTCAGTGAAAAGTATGACTGATACAGCTGATATTTTGGGAAGTCCAAGTTGTCTACTAATTATTCATTTGGAACATTCTTTTTTCAACTTTTCCACATGTTGAGAATATTCATAATTAAAAGTTGAAAGAATAATGCTATGAATTTGTAGATAATGTACCATCTGTCTCAATTATTATTTTTAAATTTGTTTTATCTAGCTATGCATCAATCTATCCATTTATGCTCTTGCTTAACCATTTCAGGATAAAATGTACATAACCAGAAATCTCACCTTCAGTACTTTAGTATGTATTACTTAAGAATGTTCTTCTATATGACCACGATGTCTAGTATACCTAAAATAATTTATAACTAGTTCTCACTATTATCTAATAAAAAACAAAGCCCAAGCCCATTGCTGTCTAGTTGATTTTGAGTAGACCTGAACTGCTCCATGGGATTTAACTTGGTTGTAATCTTTTGTGGTGCTGTTGGATTAGCACTGGACTGCTAATCACAGAGTTGGAAGTTCAAACCCACCAGCCGCTCCTTGGAAACCCTGTACAGGGTCGCTATGAGTCAGACTGACTTGAAGGTTCTTAATAACAACAACAAATCTTTATAGAAGCAGATCACCAGGCTTTCTTCCACAGTGCTTCTGGAAAAGTTCAAACTGCCAACTTTTTGGTTAGTAGCCAAGAGCAAATGGTTTGCACGTAGGAATTTTATCTAATATCCAGTCCATAGTCAACATTTTTTGATTGCCTCCCAAATATCTTTCATAGCTGCTTTCATTTGAACAGTGATTTAATCAACTTTCACAAATTGCATGCATCCTGTTTGTTAAGAATTCCTATACCCTTAGAAATGTCTCTGTATTAGTAAACTTATCTGAAAATAACATTTCTTGTTTTTACCATAATGAGAAAATAACAGCAGCATATTAAACAATGTTTACTAGGTATTCATTGATTATAGCATGTCAGGACTATATTAATTTTGAGCTGTATGAATTTTATTGAAATACTAATTTAAAATTGTCCAATTAGAATTTTTACCTTTAACTTTCATAGAGGAAGTTTAATAAAGAACTCTCATCTTGTATAAGCTCTATGTAGTTTTCAAAGGAGCCCTGATGGCACACTGGTTATGTTATGGGCCCAGCTGCTAACCCAAAGGCTGGCAGTTCAAACCCACTAGATCTGGGGAGAAAGATGTGGCTGGCAGTTTCTGTCAAGACTTACAGCCTTGGAAACCCCTTGAGGCAGTTCTTCTTTGTTCTGTAGGGTCTCCATGAGTCCAAATCAACTCAGTGGGCAATGGGTTTGGTTTTTTGGTTTATATAGCTTTCAGTACTGCAGTTAATAAGACTTATCAAATTTCTATATACTGTTTATATGGCTCAAGCAAATTATTTGCCTCCAGCAAAGTAGCATTTATACATCAGTAAACTCTAGGTATGGCGCTCTAGGATCAGCACTGGACTGCACACCACAAGTTTGGCAGTTCAAACACACCACCTGCTCCTTGGAAACCCTATATACAGTTGCTGTGAGTCAGAACTGACTCGATGGCACTTTGCAGAACAACAACATGTGATGCTTCCTTTGAGTCTGTAAGACAACCCAGTTGCCAGCAGTTCAGATCTAGGTTTAATAATCAAGAAAATAAATGGAAAGTAAAGGCATTTTCTCAAGTGTTTGCTGTTTCAGCCCTATTTTTAAACTTTTTTTTTTTAGAAAAAGAACTTTAGCTTTCATGGCTTTTTGTTTAATAATAAACCACCCAGAGTAGTTTATATAGTAAGCTGAATGTAGTCATCATAGTTATCTCCTTTTAGTTGTCTAAATTCAGATTGATTTCTTGACGTTGACTCCTTTCATGTTTATTGCCAAAGAACTGTAAGTAATTGTTGAATGTAGCATTTCAGTGCTATTCTAAAGATTAGCTTTGTTTTATTAAATAGTTCCTTATTGTTAAATAGGGACTACTCCTTTGAGTAATACTGAATATTTCCTTGTTTCATGAGTGTCAAAGTGTTAATTGTGGAAAACCAGTAAGAGATTTATTGTCTGATTTTTATCAGCTTTTTTCTTATGTTCAACAGGGCAGCCCCATTGCCCTTCCTACCAAATGAAGCCAGACATGAATTCTGCAAACTAACAAGTAATGACTGATAAAATTTCGAAAAGTTCTCATTGTTTGAAAAACATTTTTGTAGGTCCTTGAAGATTCCAGCAGTCTGAAAAGAAGTGGCAGGGACAGTGGCTACGGTGACAGCTGGGGTACAGAACGTGGAGAACTGCCCCCTCCTTCAGGCAACCACAAGAGAGAAGACTCCTTTGAGAGCTTGGACTCTCTCGGATCTAGATCATTCACAAGCTGCTCCTCAGACGTCACCCTGAAAGGGGGCCGCGAAGGTAAGTTCCATTGTGACTGTTTACTTCTATTTGTTTTGCTTGTTAAGAGAAGATTGGGAATGGGAGGAGGTAGAAAATTCAAAGAATAGTATCTAGGCTAAACTTTCATTAAGTAATGGATTTCATAGATAAGTACAGGTCTGCTTACCACAAGAGCAGCAATTCAGACCCATCAGCCACTCCTGGAAACCCTATGCAGGGTCATTATGAGTCGGAGCTGAGTCAATAGCATACAACAGCAACAATAACAAGAAGTGTAACTTTAACTTAGGGGTTTCTTCTTTACTTCCCCCTCCCTCATACTGGTGATTATTATTCCTTTTTTTTCTCTCCTTTTCATGTTTTGGAGGAGACAAAAGAAAAGGTTAAATTTTACATGTTTTATCGGTGATAATCTATCTTGATTTTTCTTAGTAGACTCAAGCCTAATAATCTCTATGAGGCCTATTAGCAGATACTACTCAAAGTGAAAAATGTAAATAGAATTAAAGGAAATTTGGTGGTACAGTGATTAAGCACTGGCTGTTAAGAGGAGAAAGTCAATGGTTCAAACCCACCAACTGCTCTTCAGAAGAAAGATGTGGCATTCGGCTTCCGTTACAGTTTTGGAGTCTCCGGGGAGCAGTTTTCTGTACTATAGGGTCACTGTGAATTGGAACCTATTTGATGGCAACCAGTGTTTTTTGGTCTTTTTTTAACTTTTTATTGGGAATTGAGTGAAGGCTTACAGACCATCAACTTCCCTCTTCTTTTATATTTCTCTTCTGCTTGTATATTGCCTTCCTGATCACCTGAGTTAACATGTCTACCCGCTAGCCAGTGAATTACTCTCCCTTCCCTTTTGTCACTTGTAACCATCAAAGAATGTTTCTTTTAGTCTGAAAATCGTTTCTTGAGTGTCCTCAGGTTCATCCATATTATGAGGTGTTTCACAATTCATGGTTATTCTTCAGCATTGCAAAGTATTCCTTGTGTGTGTTTGTGCAATAGTTTTGTTTATTCACTTTTCAATGGATGGACATTTAGGCTGTCTATATCTTTTGCTGTTGTGAATAGTTCTGCAGTGAACACCACTGTGCATATATCTACTTGGGCCTGGGTTCTTGTGCATATATACTAAAAGGAGCATAGGTGGTGCTGTAGGATAAGCACTGGACCGCAAGGTCAGTTAGAACTGCAAGCTTGGCACTTCAAACTCACTAGCCACTCCTCAGAAAACCTATACAGGGCTGCTGTACATCGGAACCGATTGACTTGCCAGCACTCAACAACAACAACATATACCAAGTAGAGGGATTGCTGAGTAACATGGTATTTGTATTCCCAACTTTCTGATTAAGTGCCATACTGTTTTCCAAAATGGTTGAACATTTTTACAGTCCCATCAGCAATGTAGGAGAGTCCCAGTCTTTCCACACCCTTGCCAGTATTTGTTTTATGATTTTTTTTTAACTTTGCTATTAATGCTGATGTGAGATTATATCTTGTTGTTTTGATTTGCATCTCTTCAATGACTATTAATCATGAACATTTTTTCATATGGTTTTTGGCTTCCTGAAAGTCTTCCATGGTGAAGTGTCTGTTCATGTCCTGTGCCCATGATGACAACCAGTTTTGAATAAAATACAATAAAAGAGACATATATCTCTTCTATTTCCTTGAATAATTTTCTTTTCTCTCCTTTCCCAAAAAGATAAAAAAAAATTACTCTTAAGCAAAAAAACTTATAGGGTTATCCACTCTAGGGAAGAAATGATTGGTATGCCTTCTGATATAGTATTATGCTAAACTTTGATAGATTGAATAATGATTCTATTATGGTGATAGAGCACATTTTTTGCTCCTTTTGAATCAGCGCTAACCCAGGGCAGAGTAAGTGGGAAAGCAACATCCTAATGAAAGTCATTCATTCTGTTTTGGAGAGAAACCTTTCAAAATGTCAGTACTATAGTTAAATCAGTTATTTAGATGCAAATCTTATTCCTGTGGTTACCAGATGTGGTGCCAGCAATTTCTGATTGCAAATCCCTAGTCAAATTTGACTAGATTAGAAATGAAGATTTTTGAAATATTTTTGTATTTCCACCAAAATCAACATAAAAATTTGAAAATTGGGGTTGCAAGTTTGTGTTTGTTTTACTTTGCATGTGTATTTTGAATATTACTTTTCTATTTCTAAGTTTTTCTAACATTTTTATTTAAAATTTTAAACATCATTAAAATTGATATGATTTTACAGTGTAAATCAGTAGACCCACCAAACAGATTGTAGCATAACATTTTACTATACTTTCTTCATTTTACATTTACTTGTCTTTCTCTATGTGCATTCACATATTTTATGAGAAATTTCAACATAAATTACAAATATTGTTCATTTGTCCTCATTACTTTTTGCATATACATCATTAACTTAAATTCAGTATTTTATTGATGTAAAATTTACATGTAATACAATGTTCATTGCGTTTACTTTTCAATAATAAAATTATTAAGTATTGGAATAAAAACCATATTCTTCAGTTTATAAAATAATGGTGGTGGTAGTGATTGTGTGCCATAGAGTTGGTTCAGGTTGTATGCCATAGAGTTGGTTCAGGTTGTATGCCATAGAGTTGGTTCAGGTTGTATGCCATAGAGTTGG